AAACACCATTATAAATCCTTGGATTAGACACCCAACGAACTCTATTTGATGAATATTGATTATATTGTTATAATTATATGGTACCATTAGGTCACATTTATTGGTAAAAAAAAATGTAAGTGATGTTTATAGTCGGTAACCATAGCAATAAATAAATAACAAAACAATTTTCAATTTAAACTAGAGGACCCATGCTGCTCCGCAGCGTTAAAATAAATATAATATCGGAGAAATAATCAAATTTATGATTTTTGATTGAACAATACATTATCTTAATCGCTTAAGTAAAAGCCGATATTTCACTGAAAGTTCTTAGACCAAAATATATAGGATTATATAATTATAACTGGTGAAATACATCTTAAATTGATGTAAGAATTCGAAAACAATTTGTTTATATGTAAGATACCATTGAAAATTATTATTATAAATCAATCAATTGTAAATATAGTTTAATATTCTGGGGCTGCAGTATAGATACCATTTCCCCCATACATGTACATTTTATAGATAGTATCTTTATAAAATGTACACACTATACAGAAAATAGACAGAGATGTTGACTGAAATGCTATAGACTAGCTTCTATTTATTAAATTAACATGTACAACTATAACTTATATTTTCCTATTTTCTCCTCACTTGTCGTCTTTATTTTCTTGACTGGCTAGGGATGTGGGCTGAGCTAAAATTGATGTTCTGTAGAAGACCTGGGATGTTGTCCTAATTAATCTAAGGGAACATCTTCTACTTCATCATCTACGATGGTTGGTTCGGAGTTGGAGCAGTTCCCCTCACATTTCCCACATATTTTTGAGCAAAAGAGCCCTACTCGTCGGCAGCCGCAGTTACCTTCTTGCATGAGCATGCTACCAGTTTCAAGAGAGCATCTGGGGCTGGGCTCCGTAAGGTAGTAATAGGAACAAATGAGTTTGCAGTCTTTCTCCAGCCACAATTTTCGGGTGACTACTTCTTTCTTGAATTTGGTAAAACACCCTCTGGGAGTGTTGTTCAGCTGCAGCTTCAGTTGGTAGAAGAGATAATATATTACCATTCATCTTATAAGCTGATGTAATACAACTCTTGAATCGCAGCTTATTCAGCTTGTTAGTGATATGGTTACCACCATACAAGGCCACCAAGAGTCTCTCCCCTGCCTCGGTAATTTCGTTTGTTGTTGAATTGGGATTAGAAAACCAGCAAAGATAGGTAGGTCGTTATGACTTATAACTGTCTTATGACTCGACGTCCGCTCTATTCCAACAAGGTAAAGTAAAGGCACTAAAGACAGTCAAGAAAATAAAGACGGCAAGTGAGGTGAAAATAGGAAAATAAAAACAATAGTTGTACAAGTTAATTTAATAAATAGAAGCTCGTCTACAGCATTTTAGTCAACATCCCTGTCTATTTTCTGTATATAGTGAGTCCATATTATACACTATCTATATAATGTACATATATGGGGAAAATTGTATCTATACTGCAGTCCCAGCATATTAAACTATATTTTTAATCGACCCTATGATTTATAATAATAATTTTCAAATGTAAATTGTTTTGTGTTTTTTTTATGCCATGGTTACCGACTATAAACTTCACTTACATTTTTTACCACTAAATGTGACCTAAAGATACCATATAATTATAAAATTATCAATATTCATAAAATAGAGTTAGTTGGGTGTCTAATCCAAGGATTTATAATGGTGTTTCCTACGTTTTCCAATAGGTAAAAGAAAATGATGAATTTTTAGCGCGCTCTAGCGTCAGTTTGGAACATCGTAGAAATAAAGTTATTATACGTATATTGTAGGGAATTTAGTGTACTTTAATTTAGTAAATGGCAGTTATTGCAAAAAAAATACTCCGTTTGTGAGTTATACGCCAAAGAGTAAAACAAGTACAGTATTTTATTTGTTTTTTGCGATTTCTGAAGTTAGCTCACCTCTGGCGAGGTGGCAAAGTTTAAAATCGGATTCAGCGCCAAAAAATACATAAGAAACCACTGAGAAAAAAACTTTGGGAATTTTTTCCTGAAAACATCGTATTTTTTCCTCATATGCTTGGACTATTCAAGTTTGACTGCAAATGGAAACCCGAAAACTCCAGAGTGTTTACATCATTACCGTTACTGCTAAGACTAATAGTCAGGTCCTGAGTCTTATCAGCATTAAGACATAAGTTGACATTTTTAATTTCTGACAACAGCTGGAGTTTCATAACAATCGTTGTATCCAATGTTAATCTTAAGGAGGAATACAAAACTTTAAAGAGCCCCGCCTCACTCTCTAATTATTTCCCTAAAAAGAAAGTTTCCTGCACAACTTCTTGTTACGCTCTTTCAAATGACACCAAAAACATGTCAATCGGTTCAGTAGTTTCGGAGGAGTAATTGTCACATAAAACCTGCTTAAAATAAAAAGGCCTATATAGATATAGATGTGTCTGACAATAACCCAATTATACTACGAAGTATTTATATTTTTCTGCCTTCGACAGCCCTGGTTCGGGAAAATGCTTAAATGAGCTGCTTTATATCCGATGTTGGAGGGTTCAACCAAAGCAAACTCAGTTGTTGTAATATCCCTATCACCTGAACCTCAAGTTCCAGTCTGTAAGTATTTGTGCATGATTTTACACCACAAACTTGGCAAAGGACGGAACATTTCAGTCCAGCTTTACGGCAGCTGCATCTGCCGGTGCAACCCTTTTTGTACCTACATGATATTTTGCGTAGGGGAATTTTGGGACTATAATCCTTGATAGTCGAGCTTCCATCCTCAATCAGTAGGACTTTCGTCAGCCCCCAACACTTTCAGAACTTGCCGGTAGCACCTGAGAGCATGGTAGCCATACTGCTGTGAAAACAGTTGTTTTAATGCATGCGTTGTGGGTCTAAAGTAGCATTTTTACTCTTTAGGGAGTAAAAATAGTTTTTAGCCTCTATGGAGTAAACATCAGCTGTTGTCAACTTAGTTGGAAATTTCAATTGTAAACAATTGAATGGATCGTGCTTCGTAATCATTTTAACCTACAGTCTACAGTCTCTTCCCATAGCATTTTAGCATTGCAGATACATTAATCCATTCCCACACTCAACACTGCTCACCTTTACTACTTCCTTCACCACCCCCTACGTCTTGGACCTGTTTCCCTCTCTTCCCATAGCTTTTTAGGAATGCAGATACGTTAATGTATTTGCTAAAGACAGTTCCCTCACTCTGCACTGCTAGCCTTTACTACTCCCTTCACCATTTCCTACGTCATAGACCTGTTTCATTCCCTTCTCATAGCATTTTAGGATTGAAGATACATTAATCTAACTGCCACAGACGGTTCCACACTATGCTTATACTTTACTACTTCCTTCACCTCTTCCTACCTCACGGACCTGTTTCCCTCCGTTTCCATTGCATTTTAGATTTGCAGATACCTTAATTTAATCGTCATAAGCAGTTCCTACACTCCGGACTGCTCGCCTTTACTACTTCCTTTACCACTTTCTACGTCGCGGACCTGTTTCCCTCCCTTTCTATAGCATTTTAGAATTGCAGGTACCTTAATCTAATCCTCACAAACAGTTCCCACAGTCCGGACTGCTTGCCTTTACTACTTCCTTCACCACTTCCTACGTCACAGAACTGTTTTCCTCCCTTCCCATAGCATCATAGGATTGCAAATACCTTAATATAATGGTCATAAACAGATCCCACACCCCGAACAGCTCGCCTTTACTACTTATTGCACCACTTCGGCACTTCCTACGTTGTGGACCTGTTTCCTTCCCTTCCAATACCATTTTAGGATTGCAGATACCTTAATATAATCGTCATAAACAGTTCCCACACTCCAGACAGCTCACCTTGACTACTTCCTTCACCCCTTCCTACGTCACGGACCTGTTTTCCCCCCTTCCCAAGAATTTTAGGAATGCAGATACCTTAATCTAATTGTCATAAACAGTTTCCACACTCCAGACCGCTCACCTTTACTACTTCCTTCACCACTTCCTACGTCACGGACATCAAGCTAGTGTCATCATTTGATTATATTTATGATCCATACCGTTTCTGTTCTAATATCTGTGGAATAATGCTATCAGCTATTTCTTTATCTACTGCATACAAAAGTCAACAGCTGATCATATGTCTTTGATTATGTGTCAAAAACTGCTTCCATAAGGATTACATTGAATCTTTGAGACCCAGTGGGGCGGATTCCTGAGAGACTTTTTTAACGCCATATAGATGTTGGCACTCACCGGTATGGTCTTTATCACCATGCAAAATTTGAAAACAATTGATTCAGCCGTCTGAAAATAGATAAGAACACAATACATACTTTTGGTTGAGTTTTCGACCATGGGGTGAGCTCTAGTGTTATTGAAATAAATTTACTTCAAAATAAAATCATGGAAATGGAAACTCGCTTAGTCTGAAGGTTTGCTGCAGCAGGGAGATTTTTAGTTCTTAGTTTGTAGATATTGGAAAAAATTGCATAATTAAATTAACGAATGATTCTGAAGTTCTAAGTTTTTATAACATATGTACAGGAGTATTTTTCACCAAACAATCCTGGAAGCCAATTCAGGTCAAAAACATATTGTACTAACTCCACCCGCCATTTTGTTAAAATTGTTAGCCCGATGGATATTTTGTATTTGTTGTCATGACCTAAACTTTTTCAGACTTAGTTTTAGCAAAGCTTTACTATTGGAATTAAGACAATTTAAAAGGAAAAAGCTCAACATCTTTTGTAAACAGAAATTTAATAACATTTTTTTTCTTACACACTTCAATATAGATATATATTTTATAAGTTACACTAAACATAAATAAATAGAGAAATAGCACAAAAACATAATTAATAATCTTAAGAGTATGTGTTTGTTGAATTATTTACCAATAAGTTTAGACAACAGTAGCCTCATATATTACAAATATTTATTTTTACTAAAAACTAATTGAACAATAATAATATTATACTAAGCAAACAAATTAGAAAATGTTTTTGAGTGTCAATGAGTGTACAAAAATTACGTATGACAACATGTATGAAAAATTAAAATATCAAAATAATTATCCCTCAATCTGATTATAAAATAATAAAAAAATTTTTTTTACTACCAGGGTATTTGTAAAATGATTAGATTAATCAATAGAACAATGGAACACATTATAAACAAAAAAGTTAAATATAGTCAGTAAACCAATGTATACAAAGTTATTTAAAACATAAATAACAATAATTAACCCACATATACTTCATAATCTAAATAAGGAACCTAATATTAACTTGTTCATGTGCAAGCTAACTTTTTATCAGTTTCCCTTCCCACTTAAGGGTGCGCTCTACACCTCCCGTTTCGTGTAAAAGCAAGGGTCTGGGGCAACAGTGTTTCTGAAGTCTAAATTTAACATAGAATCAAAGTTAGGGCATCTTATTGAAGAGAATTAAATAATCTAAAATATGATGGCTGCAAAATGCTTATTATAGTACCAATAAGACCTAAAATCTTCTTTTGAATGTAGACGAAGAACAGCAATTTTAAACAGCTTTAACTTATTATAGAATTGTTACTTTAAAATTCTAAAATAAGGGTTGCATGGATTGTTCTTGGTTCTGTAAAACTCCACTTATTGTTTTTTACTAGCATGTATGGATAGTTTACAAAGGCAGTTGTCGTGAACTTCTGCAACGCTTCTCACGGCACTGTTCAATGGCACAACATAGCTACCGAATCCAGAGCTGATGTAGAGCGCACCCTTAAGCAAAATATCAAGAGTCTATCATACAATGTAAATGTATTGTACTGCTCCAAAAATTTGATTTTCAAAAATTATCAGCATATCTACAATGAACTAAATACTACAGATAATTTATTATCGTACATTTTATTCTAAACAAATTGAATAAATGGCAACATTTCCCTTAGACTAGACATAACAATATTGTGTAGTATGAAGGAAATATCTGTTTATGAGCATCAATAGTATTTTTAAAACTAATACAGTAATACATATATTTTAACCATTGGTAAAGTGTTTGGTCATACAGACCCGTCATCAATATCTGTAAGAAATATAGTTCATATAGGCATACAATAATTTGTTACACAAAAGATTCTCAATGTTATATCAACAGAAGTTAAAATGTTATTGTATTTTGAACTTATTTATGTTGTCTAAGTTGATTGACAAAATCTGCAAGTGACAAATTGATTTGAAAAAAATTAGCTGGAGTAAAATATGTTGATTTGTAGGTTAACTTTTTTTATTTTTATGGCATATCCTAAGCAACTCAAAGCTCTTAATTTTGTAAAATAACCCCTGATACTCGGCCTGGCCTCAGTTTTACCAGTTCTCAGTTTATCCAAACAGTTCTTGGAAGCCAATGTAAAAATGTATTTGAGAGGCATATTTGTATTGTCTACCAGTGATAGATATAATACCAGAAATGCACAATATGTTATACAAAACCGTCATAATTTCAAATTTATATAAAAAAAAACTGTCAACAATATTAATAACAGGCCCTGTATACACCCAGGCCTTAGATACATAATTATTTTTACCAAAAGATATAAAAGATGAATGTAACAGCAGGAAATTTTAATGTAAACTAGAGATGTTCTTAGTAGAAAAAGCATTTCACTCCTTTGAAAAATTGGACAAAACAAAAAAAATATTTTAAACAGGCAATAAGTTACATTTCTCATAGACTCTATACTTTGTATTTGTACGTTTATGAATAAGGAGATTTTGATTTGATTTTAAACATTATTATGGTTTGAAAGTGTGTATCTGGTCCACCCGCTCCTATAAAGTCAAGCATTTTAATTACATTTTATTTACTTTTCCTTGAGTTAATCTTTTGATTCTACCATTACCATAGACATAAATGTTTTGTATGTAATAAGTGATGCCAATTATCATAGTTTGGACGGAGCCTTTTAAGCTGGGGAAAAACATATGTAGAGTGAGATGGACATTGATAAAATTAATTTACATCAAGAACAAGGGACCAGTTTGCATTGGGCAAGGCAGTGAGGAATTAACATATCTTCTCTGCGTTCTCTCCCCGTGGTAAGGCACGGGCAGAACAACTATTTAAAGTAACGTGAGGATTACATCAAAGTACATGGGTTACCTTGCAAACCAATATTCTTGCATGTAGAAAAATCTAGATAGCAATTGCTTTACAGGTTAGAAATCAAGATTTTTCTTCTTTGGGGTTCTAGCACTCTTTCGGACAGATCTTGTTCGTTTATTTCTGGATAGGAATTTAGAGTTTCTGTAACTCCATGTGATTTTATTTTTCTGTGAAATGTTTTTGCTAGATTTGACTTCTTTATTTGGAGGCAGCACTTGTGTAAAGCTCTTTCCTTTTGCTTCTGGTGGAAAATCTCTTGATTCAGCCCCAGACTTTTTATCTTGTGATGAGTTTGCTACATTGTACCTTTTATTAGAAGCAGTTTTATCTTGTGTAGGCACAACTTGTGTAGATCTCTTTCTTTTTGATTCTGGTGCAAAATCTCTTGATTCAGCTCCAGACTTTTTTTCATCATATCTTAACTTATTATCTAGTGTATGTGCCACTTGTGCAGATCTCTTTATTTTTGCTTCTGGTGGAAAATCTCTTGATTCAGCTCCAGACTCTTTTTCATCAAATGTTAACTTATTGCCTTGTGATGAGTTTGCTACATAGTACCTTTTTCTAGAAGCAGTTTTATCTTGTGTATGTGCCACTTGTGCAGATCTCTTTATTTTTGCTTCTGGTGGAAAATCTCTTGATTCAGCTCCAGACTCTTTTTCATCAAATGTTAACTTATTGTCTTGTGATGAGTTTGCTACATAGTACCTTTTTCTAGAAGCAGTTTTATCTTGTGTATGTGCCACTTGTGCAGATCTCTTTATTTTTGCTTCTGGTGGTAAATCTCTTGATTCAGCTCCAGACTCATTTTCATCAAATGTTAACTTATTATCTTGTGATGAGTTTGCTAAATAGTACCTTTTGCTAGAAGCAGTTTTTTTATCTTGTGTAGGCGCAACTTGTGTAGAGCCCTTTCTTTTTGATGCTGTTGGCTTGACTACAACTTCAGACTCTGTTTCACCACAAGTAACCTTATCTTTTTCCATCGATATGTTTACTCCCCGTTTTCTTTTACTTGAAACAGTTTCTTCATGAGGAAGCGGCACTCGAGTCAATATTACACGTGGGAATGATCCTACTTCCTTGTTTGAGACTTCTGTTGAGGTTAAAAGATATTTTGGCTCAGCTAATAATGGTGCAAGTTTTTTACGCATAGTATAAAGTAAATATGCAGAGTCAGGTAGACTTGTGGGAACTGAGCTTGGTGGTTCCAATGAGGAATGCCTCTGTCTTGGTAGTTTTGTAGGCAAGTCTGTTGTATTTTTGTAATAAATAATGTGCTTTTTAACTTTAATAGCCTCACTCAATTTAGTGTTTTGCAGTATTTTTTGGCTAACTTTCTTATTTTTATTTGATGAGGTGAAACTTGTGTTAGCAGTTGGCTCCTGTTTATTTGATAGAGATGTTTTGGATTCACATTGTTTTTTTATTCTTTTGCTATTTGGCTTAGACTTTTTTTTTATTGGCAAGTCATTTGTCACCCTTTTCTTATTTACAACTGTTTCAACTATATCCTGATATGTTTCATTAAACGATAAGAAAAAATCTCCACCTTTTTGCGAATAAACCTGTTCAAGATTATTTCCAAGACTTTTGCATGTTTCAGTTGGACCACAATCACTGTCTTCATTATCTGAAAAATTGTTTTCTACAATTCCCGGAAATTCTTTTATAGATAGTGATTTCACACTCTCACTTGAATCATCTTGATTAACCCTCAAGATGTTATTGCTGATTCCAAAAAGACTTTTGACACTGTGGTTTGGCTCCTCTTGGTTGACCTTTTTATTGATATTGTTAATTTCAGAACATTTTTTTCCAGCCTTGCTTGACACATCTTGATTACTGTTTGGGTTAATATTGTTGATTCCAGTGAGATTTTTGTCAATCTGATTTGGCTCCTCTTGATTATCCCCCAGGATGCTATTGTTGATTCCAGAAGAGTTTTTGTCTCTGCCACTTGGCTCTTCTTGATTAACCTTTAAGATGGTACTGTTGATTCCAGAACGGCTTTCGACATTTTGGGTTGGCACCTCTTGATTGCTGTGTGAGTTAATATTGTTGATTTCAGTGAGATTTTTGACTATCTCACTTGGCTCCTCTTGATTAACCACCAAGATGCTGTTCTTGATTCCAGAAGGGGGTTTGTCTATGTCACATAACTCCTCTTGACTAACCTTTAAGACGGTATTGTTGATTCCAGAAATGTTATTGACACTCTGGGTTGCCACCTCTTGATTGTTGTTTGAGATAATATTGTTGATTACATTACCGTTTTTGATCTCACTTGGCTCATCTAGATTAACCCCCAAGATGCTCTTGTTGATTTCAGAAGGGTTTTTGTCTCTGGCAGTTGGCTCGTTTTGATTAATTTTCAAGATCGTACTGTTGATTCCAGAAAAACTTTTGACTCTCTGGTTTGGCTCCTCTTTGTTGACCTTTAAATTGATCTTGTTAATTTCAGAACAAATTTTGACACTTTTGCCCATAACATCTTGATTGCTGTTTGAGTTGATGTTGTTGATTTCAGTGAGGTTTTTCACTATCTCACTTGGCCCCTCTTGATTAACCACCAAGATGCTGTTCTTGATTCCAGAAGGGGGTTTGTCTATGTCACATAGCTCCTCTTGACTAACCTTTAAGACGGTATTGTTGATTCCAGAAATGTTATTGACACTCTGGGTTGCCACCTCTTGATTGACCTTTGAATTGGTATTTATAATTCCAGAGAGGCTGTTTGCAAGGCCTGGCACCTCTTTATTGCTGTTTGAGTTTATATTGTTGTTTGTAGAAAGGCTTTTGACACTCTGGCTTGGCACTTCTAGGATCATCTTTGAGCTTGTATTGTTAATTACAGAATAGTCTTTAACACTTTGTCTTGTCAATGCTATGTAGGCCTTGGAGATTGAGTTGTTATTCTCAGGTAGGTCTTTAACATTATTACTTTGAAAATCTTCAATGATCACTGAGTTATTGACTTTAATTAGGTTTTTAACATTTTGATGTGGCGTTTCTTGGTAGGTCTTGGTGTTGTAAAAGTTACATTCCGGAATCTTTTGACCAATAGATGACTGTTTAGTTTTTATCAACGATGTCTTAGATTTAAAATATCTCTTAGGTACAACTTGTGATGGAATACTTTGTTTGTTGGTATTTAGAGGAACTAAGAGGGACTCGTCTATAGGATTTACCGAGATACTCATATTTACTCCCAAACAGGATCTGTTATGATCATTGTCAAAATGTAGTTTAGGTGACTGCGTCAGGTTTTGGACAGTACTAGGTACTTTAAAAGTCTCGCCACAATTCTGATGTTGAACTGGCATGGTATTTAATGTTTTGGATTTACAAAGGTTGTGATTTTTTACACTTTCTGAGCTATTTCCCTTGTGAATAGAGGTAATGTCATTTACAATGTTTTCTGTATCACATATATGATTTATCTTCTCTTCTGTAGGTTTTTTGTGCATTGGATCTTCATTTTGTTTTGTCACCAAATAATTCTTTTCTGGCACACTGGTACTTGACATTTCATCAGCCCTGTTTTCTTCATGGTGTTTTAGGGTTTCATTTATATTTGATTCAACATTCTTTATTTTTATTTCTTTTGTGCTCAAAATAAGTTCTTGTGTAGAAGGTAAACAGGATTTTAAAAAGGGCCTGCTACCCAACCCATCACCTATAGGTTCACCAAGATTCTTGTTTGGATTTGACACACGCTTACAAATTTTAAACTTACGACATTTGAAAGTTTTTATTATTTTTGAACAATTTTCTTCATGCAAAGTAGTAATAACATTATTTTTTATGTCTTCTGTCTCAGGAACATTATTCTTGATGCTTTCCAATTTACTTCTTATAGGCATATGGGAAGAAGAGGTGAACCCTTTAGCGTTGGCCCTGAGAGAGGGTGCAGGTTCAATGAGCTGGTTTGACAACGACACTTGAAGCAAATCTTGTTCCTTCGAAGGCATTTTAACCTCAAAGAGGTTTGGAAAAACTCTTGCTTGATTATTTGCACATACATCTTCCTGTGGGAGAGGTCTAGATGGTGATGAATCATCAAATTGAGGTGTGTAATCCGCAAAATTTGGTTCATTTGCATCTGCTCCAAACATCCTTAACAACTGGGCTGACAATAGTTTTTTCTCCTTCACAGCGAGATAATATGGTGTTCTGCCATTCTTTCGATCCTAAAAACATAACAATTAAACTACAGTATTGACAAAATCAACTTTTATAAAGAAACTTTGTGAAAAGTCTATAAAAAGCCTTAAGTCACACTTAAGCCTTATGTGACACTTTGTAATGTTATATAAATATGTTAATGTATATAAAATTAAGGCATTCGATTAAGTTTTTGTCGAAAAATTGTATCATGTATATATTTTGCTTTTAGTTTTTAAGATGTTGACATGTCACCTGTTTTACCAGCTGTGCTGGGGAGGAAAATGTATTGTGACGAATAAAGAATCTGAATCTGAAGTCACTGGTTAAAAGAACAATAATTGACTGTTTATGAAAACAATAGGTTATACTAACTTAGAACTATCTTATATATAAAAAAAAAAGGTTTTTCTTTTCCGATTTCGTTTGGCTCTTCTACCCGACCGATTTTCATGACTGGGGTCTCAAATTGAAGGTATGCACGCACAGATTTTCCATCAAGCATCAGCATATATTTATCTATAATCTCACCAGACGTATACATAAACAAAATTTGCTCCCCATGTCTTTCTTATGGGACTTAAATTTGGTTTCTCTTTTCTGAGTTCGTTTGGCTATTCTACCCGACCGATTTTCATGATTGAGGTCTCAAATTAAAGACATGCACGCCATGTTTTCACATCAAGTTTCGGCAAATATTTACCTACTGTATTACTGTATAAAAAATTGAATGATGTGTTGTGGTGTGTGGTAATCTTGTGACATGATTTTTAGCTATTTTGGTTGTAAGTATTTGTTTGGATTATTGGAAATGTATGATGGGGCCCAGAGAACCGGACCTTTTGCCCAAAACCAGGAATACAGCCCAAGCCAGCTTTGATTATACTTGTTTAACTAACACACTTATTTACCCTAATTTTTGTAATGAGCCTTTTTCCTAGGGTGGTAAATATTTGCTACTTGGCCGCGCACCGATTGTTGAGGTAAGCAAGCGGCGGCGGCGAGGCTAGCGAGCGCCCTTTGACCCGGCTTATCAGTGCCGATAAGCCTGGGATATCCTGGAACTTCAGGACAGTGGACAGTATAGGAGAGACATTCGAGTCGTGGATCCGGGACGGTGAGGATAATGTGATGTCTTGTGGAGACGACTGGGATACATTGGTGGTGTACGTACAGAGAGAGGAGTGTACAAGTGACAGTGAGTGTCGGTGTTAAGTTGGGTTGAGACCTGCTACTACTGGTGAGTGGACGACGTTCTTTTAATTTCGGTTAAGGAGTTGGATATTATTAGTTTGATAATATTAATCTCTGATTTGAATGCGAGAGTTGGAGTTGTAACCGTGCTGGTCAAAGCCTGGCGGTAGTTAGAATTTATTTATTAGTCAGGAATAATATTAAAGTATATTTCTGATGGTTCTGGGCAGGCGCTAAATCGCAAATAATATATTTTATTTACTGTAGTAGATATTATTTTGCATTTCACAAGATTTAGTTATTTTACTAATAATTGTGAGGCCCGACAAACCTAGGCTGCACGATTTGGCGTGCGTACTTGTTGGCAAGTCGTCGTGTAACTCACTTTGTCTTAGGCACTCTGGGCTTAACTATTGGATAGTTAGGTAGGACGAAGCCCGAGTTGCATAGTCAGCAACGACCCCCTAGGAGAGTGGAGAATCGGTTTATGCCTGGTAGTGATTATTGCACGTTTGTTTTGGTGACTTGTTTTCGACTTGTTCACAGTGCCCGTGTATGAGCCAGTCCTATACCGGTTAGACCCGGCTATTGGCCTAGTGGCTTCCCTGACCTTTTCGCAGACCCTGGAACTTTACCCAGCCATTGTAGGCTGAGCTATACCCGGCCAACGGTTGCGTCTGCACCTTTAATTTTTTTTCCAGTGAGAAAAGTGCGTTGCATTTTGATTTACACCTTCCAAACTAATATATATATAGACATGACAAACCTGATTGGAGCAAGAATTGATTTAAATGTAACTGGTAGATGAACTAAGATATCCCTTTACAGGCAACTTAATCTCTTGGAACATGTGACTTCGAAACATGAAACAGATTGTTTGATTCCGTTAGGCGGAATCAAACTTGATATTTAATTACCGTACTACATTTTCCAGCGTAGTAGCGAAGCCAGTCGACTTCCCCTCCTCAAAATTTATTGCTAGCCTAACATATTAATAGTTTACTTAAAGCTAATAATTAAAACTTAGCTTTTGATTATTCATTCTCTACGAAGTTGGAGGTACCAAAGCTTTTGTGTTCACGGCCAATGGAAGACAGGGGCGAGAGAACAGGCGAGCCCGGCTGAGTTTGGTTGATCCAAGAAAAAAAAAACCCGGTTGTGGGGAATTTATGTTAATTAGAAAGCAATGTGGACTGTATTATAGTTATTTTAAAGTTGGAGACACTAACCTTTTGTTATTAAACTGATGCGTAGACTGGGGGCCCCCTTTGATGAATCCTGAAATGCTATAATGTTGATAAGTTCACCTTTTCACACTATATGATGTTAAAAAACACTTCAATTGTCTTTATAATAAGTTATAAGCCAGCGGTAAATATTTATGTTGGTAAAGAGGTTTATGGTATTTGAAAATGTAGGAGAAAAGGCATGTTAAGTCCTCATAGCAACAGGACTTGCCCAAGAGTGTGCCACTACTCTACTGAAGGAAGGAGTTGGTCATGTGATACATATCAGTGACCAATCAGAGAGCTAGTCTTGAAACCATTGGGGTTTGAAGATACTGATGCACTCTATGAGGAAAACATTTAACTATTTGAAATGGTATTTAAATGGAGATTGTGGTGAAATCAGTTACATATTATTAGAGTGCATTAAAATTAAAAATTAATATAAGAATACTTAGAACAAAACAGTATATATATTTGACATACCGGCCCCCTTGAACCGATCCGGTTCAACAGAAAAACAAGAACCATGCATGATTGAAATATGAGGAATAAAAATAAGGAAGGGGGTTGGTAGCCAGAGTTATGTTAGGTTAGTTTATAGGAAGGCGGGAAACCTTAACTACAGGTCGTGTTAAGGTTTTTGTAGATGTCTTGATTTGAACGACTCTTACAGTGCCATCTTGACCAGGAGAGGCTGAGATGATTCGACCAAGCATCCAAGCAAGAGGTGGAGTATTGTCTTCATGAATGATTACTAAGTCTCCGATCTTGAGGTTTTCTTCTGGAGTAATCCACTTAGATCGTTCTTGGAGGGTCTGCAGATACTCTCTATGCCATCTATTCCATATGTGTTGAGCAAATGCGTGCACAAGTTTCCACCGTTTCAGGCGATTTACAGAGATATCCGTGAGATGAGGTTCTATTAGAGACGTCAGAGGTCCTCCTGTCAGGAAGTGTCCTGGAGTTAATGCTTCAAGGTCAGATGGGTCTGCAGAGAGTGGTGTAATAGGCCTTGAATTTAACATTGACTCAACACGAGCAATCAGTGTTAGAAACTCTTCATAGGTTAGGATTTGTGTACCTATGACTCTCTTCAAGTGGTATTTGGCACTTTTTATTGCCCGCTCCCACAAGCCTCCTTGGTGTGGAGCTCGAGGTGGTATGAAATGGAAAGTTATTTTGTTGTTCTGGGCAAACCGTTGTGTTTCAGGTTTTATCATTAGGTCTTGGAAGCATTTTTTAAGCGTTGAGGCTGTTCCAATGAAATTGGTGGCACAATCTGAATATAAATCTGATATAGTGCCTCGTCTGGCAGTAAACCTAGTTAAGGAAGCAATGAATGCATCTGCTGAAAGATCTGTGACCATCTCCAAATGTACAGCCTTTGTGGCAAAGCATATAAATAAACAGAGATAGACTTTAATTGGCTGCAGTCGACGTAAGATGTGAACCTTTACTGTAAAAGGTCCAGCATAATCCATAGCGGAAACATTGAAACAACGAGTAGCCGTAACACGTCCAGCAGGTAAGTCGCCCATTAAAGGTGCTGTCATTTTAGGCTTAGCTTTGAAACATCGAATACATTTAAATATTCTGGAGCGTATAACACTTCTCTGAGAAAATATCCAGTAGTTTTGCATTAACATTGCTTGAAGACTCGAGTTGTGGTCCTGCATGTAGATATATTTTATGAAAGAAATCAATCAGCAGGTGGACTACAAAATGGTTCTTGGGAAGCAAAATGGGATGTTTTGCACTGTACTTAAGTGGTGAATTTTTCAGTCTTCCACCAACTCGTATGATTCCTTCTTCATCTAAGAAAGGTGCAAGCCGTTGTATTTGAGTAGAACATGTTTTCTTAGCTTGAAGCGATTTGATCTCATTTGCAAAGCATTCCTTTTGCACACACCAACATATGCGATTTGTTGCACTTTCAAATTCCTGTTTGGTTAAATGAGTGGTTATTTTTGCCTTTAGCTTTAGACATTTAATAAAACGAAGAACATAAGCCATAACGTTTACAAGTTTAGACCATGAGGAATATTTACTTAAAAAATGTAGTTTAGAGTCATCGGTTGATGTTATGAGGTTGAATGTCTCTGATTTCAGTTCATTAAGAGATTCTTCAGGATCTGGGGAAAGTTTAGTTTGTGGCCATGTAATTGAGTCCCATTTAAGCCACTTAGGTCCTGACCACCAGAGCTCATGATTCATTAAAGCGGATGGTGTTAGGCCACGAGAGGCGCAATCAGCAGGGTTCTCTGCTGAGGAAACGTGTCTCCATATGCATGAAGGAGTAAGCTCTTGTATCTGAGCTACTCTATTTGCTACAAATAGTTTTAGCTTGTAAGATGGGGTGTGGATCCATGACAGAGCAATCATAGAATCTGACCACGCATTGATAGCTGTAATATGGTACTGTTTATCAAACTTATTGATGCAATAGTGAAGCAACTTGGCAAGTAAATGAGCGCCGCATAGTTCAAGCCTAGGTATTGTAGTGCGTTTAAGCGGAGCTACCTTTGTTTTTGCAATCAACAAATGAGTTGAAACATTGTGATCAGAATCTTCTAACCTTAAAAAGACACATGAAGCATAGCCTG